TATTTAGGCCCAAAGTAAAATTTAACCTGGACACTGAAGTAATACTCCCACTCTTCATGGCATGGATCTATGATCCAAGTTTAAATGGCATCTCTTATATCACAGTTTCACTTGTCAGCACACTGGCACTGGAAATTCTCATCCAGAAGGAAGGGCACCACATCTAGTCCATTAACACCAAGGACACCAACAACCTCCTTTTCCTTAAAGGTCTCTTTCATCATAGTACTAACCAGATGCAACCCATTTAGGTTCTGAAGAGATCAGGTTATAAGATTTGCTGTTGTGAGGCTTAGACTGTAGCTTGATGAGTCTGGAATTCCCAATATGTTGAAGGTTCAGCACATATTTTATTTCACTATCTGTTTAGTGCAGCTTAGGACAGCACTTACCACAAACCCTGCATAACTCCAATGGTGGTACACCAAAAGGTGGACTGCTTCTTTTAATTTATGAATAAGCTACTCTTTCAGACAATAGCATTGATAAGCATAACCTGAAACTACTTCTTTCAACAACTAAATAATTCTGATTAACATTCTAATTCTACACCACCACAACAGCCTGCAAATAAACTTGCCACCAGTCCTTGTTGTAAAGGAATTAACTTACTGGCATGACAAGGCTTTAAAAAGACCCTGAGTTAAACCGTCCTCAGCAGAGTAACTCATGACTGTCCACAAAAATGCACCAGCGTGAGTCTGAAGTTCATTTACTCTTGTAAGAAATAATGAGCCTCAGTAATGACATTATTATATTTTATCATGAATGTTATCTTTTACATGCCTGATAGGTTATCCTGGTAAATGTTTGCTGAATGGAATTTGGTTTAAACACTTGAAATATGCTGCCCAGAAGCAGAGGGCTCCACTTTCAGATGCTAGTCCAGCTATAAGATCTGTACAGAAAGAAAATCTGTTTTCAGAACCATGGTTCTGGACCACATTCCTGCAGGGTTTATGGGGCTTTCTGAATTATCAACTTGAAATACTCTCATTTCAAAGGAACTTTCAGTTAATGCCAACCAATATTTAAGTCAGTGAATTTATTAAGGACTGTGATGTTGGACTGTGTCCCAATGGAATCTGTATTTTTAAAGTATTTTGAGATTCTGCTTACTATGAATATGAAATTTATTAAAAGCAGGGGTGAAACACAAACCAGACGATCTGGCAACTCTCTAGGACCATGGATGTTTGATCCAGAAATAAATTAATAAAAGTGCATTTCCATAAAGACAACTTAAAACCAGCCCAGGGAGTGACAGGAAAAGGAAATAAAATTGTTTTTATTTAGGGAAAATGAAAAAAAAAGATTAAAACATAAGCTCTTTTTTAGTGTAAGAAGAGAGAACAAGATACAACGCATGAGGAAACATGCAGTATTTTTTTTGTTTTTCTTTCCAGCTTTGTATTTATATAACAATACCTTAAGATTATTTTATGATTTGTCAGCTGCTCTTGGCAAATACTCACAATGGGAGTTAATGTTTTCTTTTAATCCAGACAACCATACATTGCAGAAAACATCTCTTGTAAATTTCATGTTTTTTCCCCACAAGATTTCCATAGTCTGTCTAAGGGTCCATATGTGGCCAGCAGAATTGCTTACTTTGTTACACTGGGTGTAGAACACCTTTGGCTTGATGTAGGGCTTGATGTAGGACTTGAATTGAACCTTTACTTATAATTACATAGTCCCCCCATCACCTCTATCAATTAGTTGGAATTTTTGCAAATGGAACAGAAATATGGGAGACCTCTAGCACTGGCCAAATGCAGACCCACCCAACCTGAATTTGATACCATATTGCAGGCTGATGCAGCGTTATTGCTGACCTGTACAACAGGAGAACAGCCACCTGAGTCTTTTATCTGACACCTGAGAACCACCTGCCTTACAGGGAGAAGCTAAGCTGCTCACAGCTGCTTCCTCCAAACAACAACACTTAGCTCTCTCACTCTCTCGGAGTCTAATCCACAGACACAATTTCTTCTACTGGCTTCAGAGCACAGACCTCAGGATTCTGTATTTTAAGTAGAATTCAGAATAGTTAGTTTATTAATCCATCCATTTTAACCACTTTATTTAATACAGTGCTATGGACCCTATCCCTGACTGGGACACCAGTCCATCACAGAGAACACACAGAAACAAACACACACAAACACACACAAACACACACAAACAGGTCTTTGAACTGTGGGAGAAAACCCACAAAAACACTTGGAGGATATACAAACTCCACACAGATAGCACCCTAGATCCAGAATTGAACAGGGACCCAGCACTGCAAGGCAGAAATGCTCAACACTGCATCACCCTGCCACCCCATGTTCATTAATGTAATAGAAGAATAATTTATATATTTAGTTATAAACTAATTATCCCATAATATGTTTTGTGGAGTTGTCTCCATATGGGTTTGTAACCTGAAAAACACAAAGATGCATCAAATGGGTGTTGGAAACAATAGTACAGGTTGTATTTGTGATGTTTCTCAGTATACTATGCCATCTCTGAAAGAGTTTTAAAGGAGCTTTGCCTTGGCATTAAAATTCACATCTGCAGATCTATTTTGGCAGAGCTAACCTCTGTCAAAGAGACAAAGTCAAATTCACTGAATACATTACCCTTTCATATTAAGTATTATACTGATTGATTGGTTTATAAAGAAAAGTAGGCTTTCATGCCTTTACTAGTTCCAGGACAGAAAATGCAAGAGAACAGAGAAATTTAAACAGGGCATGAGCTGGCACATTTCTTTTGCTGCATGGTTAGCATTAGCATTTCAAGTCTACATTCCCCCAATGCATTTTAATTTGAAATAGATCAGGACGAATGATATGGCTGATATTGTGCCAGCTGGCTTGGCTGAAACACAGAGGAAATGAAACACAGACACTGAGAACAAGAGAAGGGGAGAAAGAAAAGAAATAGAAATGGATTCTGAGAAAGATTTTGTATTTGTGTGCGAGTACAGTACTGGATGCATACACAGTCTCAACACTGGTGTAAAACCGTGACAGGCCGTCCTTTTGTCTGGAAAAGACAATGTGGGGATTATTCTGTACTGTCTCACTCATTCACAAACAATCGCATTTAGTGGGTCACACCATGGGACACCAGCATGTTTGCTGGCCTCACTCCTTGATTAAACCTCAATCCCAGTTGCCACCACCTCCTCATTTCCATATTAAGACCCAACCCCTCCTCTTCTGTCCCTCTCTCCTCCTCCTCCGAAACTAAAGGATTGTAACATGGCACTTTCTGGTATGCTGTATTATCCTCAAACAGCATAAAGTATCATACAAATTTACACCCATAAATATTCAATTCAATTAACTTAAATTTCATTGGGAACCTCTGTCTCCTTCTCTCTCCTTTCATTTGCTTCCTTGTCTTTCTCACTTACTCTTCCCCTATCTCATAGTCTTGGTCTTCCTCAAACACACTAGGAAATTACAGGGCTTTTTGTTTTGGTGGATTATTGGTTTTGGCAATCTGCTCAGCAACGCTCAGATCTAACACTCAGTAATCAACATAAATACTACACCCACCAACAACCTATCACCCTCCCTCTTCATTCATCTCCTGTCATCTATCTCTGCCACCTCCATCCCCTACCCCAACCACAAAGCTACACAGCTAGACTAGCGTCTGTGCAGAGTGCATACCTCCATGGCTTAAAAACCGCACACTGAATTTTAGATGTCTCACATGCTTACTGACTCTATAAGGAAAGGTGAAAGCAGTGCATGATAACCAATCAGTCTTCCAATGCACAGCAGCTTGTCCATTTTAAGAATTACCAGTTGCTGGGCTCTTATACAAAATTTACTGATGAAGCACTGTTTAAACTGTAACTGAATTTAAACAAAAATTACACATACATCTATACACGTCTGCTCCATTCATTGTATTTTTGACATTTCAGTCCTCAGCCACAGGTTAGAAAGTGCCTGAACTGCTCTGAAATCCACAATGAAATGCTCATTTTGATTTCTGAATCGCTATTTTATTGTGGTTGGGACAATGAAATTTTCACCCCAAAAAATATTTTCTGAAACAAGACAGGGGGCAAGTGAAAATGAAGGGGAGATGTATTAAAACTGAGAATAGGAAACGCTGTTTACACAAACGGTTGTGGGGATATGGAACAAGCTACCCAGCTATTTTCTCAAAGCTGATACTTGGGATTTTTTTCAAAAAAACATCAGGATGATTAGCTACAAGCAACCAAACAAACTTGATGGACTGAAAGACCTCTTTCATTCACCCATTATGTTTTTGATTATGTTTTTGTTACTGCAATACCAAGTTGCTTGAGGACACGCCGAGATGATGGAGACCAGAAAGAACGCCAATTGTTCTTTCAAGTTCTCTGAAAAGTGTTATGCATGATAGCAATTAAGTTAACTCTTCTGCTGGGAGAATTACGAGTCCTTCAAAATCTACATTTCGATCATGACGCTTTGCACATACAGAATCAAATGAAATAAAATGTCATGTAATTTTATTAAACCCATGACATGCAGTTTATGATATGCACGTCGTGGTATTATTGATACATATTTCAGTGGGAAACTAGAAACACTGAATACAATGACAACCTCCAAATTGTAATATCTTTAAGACCAATTTCCTGACCCACACAACAACCTGAAATCCATTATTTATCTGGATACCCATGAATTATCTTTTTTTTTTCAATATCTGAGGCATTTTTCAGGAAAAAGTGAGACTACCGTAATATGTAGTATGAGCTTGCGCATTACCAAATTATAATTATTTGTCATTAACTATATTTTCTACAATTATGATCACAATACTCTCTATCCTCTTTAAGTATAGTGAACATTTATTATTGTAGCAAAGCTGCTTACCCTACCAGGTACAGATGAAGATGATCTAGATAGTTCTAGATACGGGATGCCAATAATTATGCTTGCAGGTATAACTAGTAGTTACGCAATGTTGCTGCTGCTGTGGGCACTCACCGCGGTAGTTTGGATGCACACGGGGGCTGTAAACCCCAAATTTGATGAGCACAGGCACAGCGTAGCCCAGCCGCACCCACTCCACCACATGCAGGGGAAAGAGGCGTGGAGTGGTGTTGTCTGTCGCAGGGGGGGACAAGCTGCAGCCCAGCACAGCTGAGCCCCCAACTCTTGACCGTACCACTGAGTCTGCTCCCAGGGTGGGGCCTGCTGAAATAAAGAAGGCAAAAGCAACAGAGACCATGTTGAAATATGCAGGTCAATGTGATCGGAATTCAAGGGGAGAGAGAAAGTGCTTGCTGGAAAAAACCAATGAAGAAGGACATGCAAAAGACCTGTAGATTCAATGCAGCTGTGATTGTGCTCATTGCTCAGCATTAAAGAATGTAGACTATGATGTCCTTCTACACAATACAAAGTGAACAGAACAAAATGTGGATATGATAATGCCGATGAACCCCTGTGTCATGTCAGGTTCCTCTAGTAACTTGAGCCAACGAGGTCATGAGACTAGTATCCTAAAGAAAAATGCCTTAACAATAAAATTAAAAATGCACTAACAATAAAATAATCAATAAGGGACCTGATGCCAGATATGGATAATCAACTCTTATTCTCATAGTGTGTATGTGTACTTGGTGGGGTGCAAGGAGTACTAAGATTTGAAACAGCAGACTCCTGAGGTCCTAAAGACCTTGTCCTGCATTTCCAAAAGATTTCAGTGCAAGAGATTAAGCCCTGATGCGGGGAAATGATTAGGAATCAGGACACATGGTTATTTTGGATAATTCTAGTGGGAGGAGGCGGGGAGGGGGGGTTACCTCTCCTTGTTCTTTCTGTTCAATTGGATGCGGAGAAATTTATTTTTGAATGTATACATTTCTCTATTTTTTTTAGAAACAGTCATTTAATGCTTCTCACACGTACTGTATCTAAGCAATTGTGCTCCAAATAAGCTTTAAAAACATGTGCCTTACCTACTCATGTATCTGTCCAGCATGCGTGAGCAGACTTTGTGGCATCTGTGTACTGGGGGAGGGCAGTGCCCCAAATTAAAGATTTAACCTCTTGCAGGGGGAAGGACAGAAAGAGGGAGGGAAAATAAAACCAGATAAGGAAGATGGCAGGATGAAATTAAAGAGTGGGCGATAGAGAAACAAACTCAGGTCTAATGTTGGACTCTAATGACAATCATTACTGTAGGCAGCCCTAAGACGGACCACGAACAAGCCTCCCTCACATTTCTATGAAAGAGGCTTAATGAGCCAGTACTTAAGCTAAATTGCTAAATTGCTAACAAGCAGTAACTACTAGAAGGTTGCTGCATCAAAGGTGATGCTGTTATACATATCTGACACACCGAGTAAGGCACGGAGAGAAAAAGAGAGAAGTGGAAAAAGATGGAGAAGGAATTAGAATAGGAAGGTGGTGCTTCTTACACAGGAAACAGAGCGCAGCTGCAGTGATGACCCCTGCGATCCAGAGGTGGGTCCGTCTCATAGCCAGGTCTCCCCGTCACACTCTGACTGTCCAGCACATTCCACACCACACCCCGGAGCTCCTGCAGAAAGCACAGTCAATGTAGCCATCAGTCAATAACCTGACACAACACTGCAATGACTGTGAATCCATAAAACCTTCCGGCCACAGTCTGGAAGCAGGTCCAAGAAAGCGTGAAGATCTAAAAATTGTCAAACTTGAACAGAGCACAGCTGTAACATACTCCTCAGGATACAAGCACAAATTCTGCCCCTAAAGCAGAAAAAAAAATATTAATCAGTCAAAAGTATACTATTTATGCCAACATATATCAGTTAGATGTCAGGTTTTAGTTGGGTTTCGGATATCAGAGGTTCTGCTATTGGCTGGAACTCAACAGGCACAAGTGCTGGGCACGAGCCTCACCTTTTTACAGGGCAAAATTCCATCACTATGTGCTTGCCTGCTGAGGACAGCAGCCTAGCAGGTATCTTTAAAGCAGAGACCAGCAGTAAACCTAAGAAAAAATGCCATGTTTTTGATAATTGAAGGATGCTGTGAATTTTATATCTCTATGATGCAATGTGTGGAAACCAGCACTGCCTTCCCAAGTGTCTTTTAGTAATTCTTTAACCACTCATCTCCCACATCCATGAGGTTTACAGGATTTTGATTTAGCCAGTTATAGAAAGCTAATGAAAAAACACCTGACAAAACGTCCATCTACCCATCAGTCACAAAATTCCAGACCTAGTACCTGAAGAGTTTCCGTTGGGTTGAAGTACCAGGGAATGTTCAAGCATGAAAGTCTCCTATTTTATTGCAAATAGAAGCATAAAATAGCCATGAAACTTTCACCAGTCCTCAACACAGAAATGCAGAACATGCACAAGGTGAAGGCTGCAACATTGCTTTCATCTGCAGTGTTAAGTGTTCACTGGTGTTCCTGCTTTAGAAGAGAAATGGCAACTGTGAAGCCTGTCATTCATGGTCAGAAACTGCCCAAAGTCACTGGGCAGCAGGTTAGGGGTAACAGCTTGTTACAGGACTAAATCAATTGTGATGCTGTTTGCATTAACAAGAGCATTCCTTTGCCTAGTCAGCCTGATGGCAGGAAAAGAGGAAGCTACAATCTATCACAGAGTTTACAAATCGTAATTAGTGGCTGGGACAAAGGTCTGATTTTATTCTGAGTCTCGGAATAACAGCAACAGAAAGGAGTCTACATAAAAACATTTTAGGTCTCAAAGTTTTTGCAACATTGTACAGTTTAAAATGATTTATAAAAAGCAACGCCGTTATTTTGTGTCAAATCTATGTAGATTCAACTTAAAATAAGGTACAGTACTGACGTCACATACATAGGCCAGCTATGATTACCTACCAGCTGTCAGGTAAAAGTCTGTGACTAGCATTGTCATGGGGAGTGCTACCCTGAGCTGTGATTAGACAACTGTGAGTTTAGTTTTACCCTACAGATGTGCTGTTGCAACAGCCATCCTGTTCAGTACAGCAGGTTCTGACATTTGGTGTCTGTGCTCGGCTAAGGATCCAATAGTGTGAAGCTGCCAGCTATGGGATTATGACTTGACTTCATTTGTCCAAGACAGAACCCCCCCCCCCCCGACACACTAAAATGTAGAGAGAATTCCATGATGCTTCCCACTCCTTTCTAAAAATGAACTTTGGTGCACTATGATAAAAGCACTGTAAAGTTTAGTAAAGCACAGATGAATCACAGTACTGCCAAATCGGTGAACTGCATGACAGAGCAAGATACGATATGTGGAAAGGCAGAAAAAAGGAGAAACAAGTATGAGAAAACACCACAAATACCTCAGAAATTTGTTGTGATACCAGGACCTGGAGATAGAATAGTGTGCTGTTCTGACTTCAGTTAGCTGGATTAGTTTCCCCTCCCCCTCCTGTTTCTCCCATCCACTGACTAGCTACAGAACTAATACCAGCTTATTACTTTAAGTGAATTACAGAAATGGAAATGAAGGGTATTTTTAGAAGAGTAGCGAGCTAACTGCTTGACAAAATCCACTAGACATGTTTTTGTGCACATGCACACAGATGAGACATGCACTAGGCTGCAGTGTGTATAGGACCTGATTCCTGGCAACGTTGCCTTCACGCCATACAAGCAAAGGGGAATCACAGGTTCATTACCTGTTTTTTGCACAACAAGACCATAAAAAGTAGTTTTTATGATTCCATAGGTCACAGATAAGTGAACATAAACAAAGGCAAGAGAAAGCAGGTATTGGAGAGCTGCTTTTTTATATGATGAGCAGTAAGAGAAAATAACAGAACACAAGCAAATGAAGGAAAACATACAGTAATACTCCACTCCTCTAAAGTCCATTAAAAATGTTTGCAGGGAGACTACCCACATCTAGTCTTTTTCAATTATATGAACTTCCCTTATAGCATCCCCAATAATAGTTTGTCAATGTTTTTTTTTATTTTAATCTATAGCAAAAAAGGATTATCCATACGGCTATAAATGTATGAACACGCACAGTACACCTCAGGACAAAACTCACTTCCATTAGTATTGCAGCTTATACAAATAACTCTGTGAAGAAGGTGCAGACATAAAAATATTCACTGGAAAATTGATTACAAATTCCAGGTATATGGACAGAGGATTGGTTTTAAATTAAGTGAGAGCAAAACTGTTAGGACAGCATCTCTATTAGAGGGAGAGCTTCCCAATTTTCAATTCAAGCCAAGAATCTGACAAGTCACTGGACCAAGCCTGCTTACTCATCGATATACCTCTGATCTGTTAGGTCCTGTTTTTTAACAACGGGATTTTATTTTTCCAGCATATTTTCTCATATGCACCACAACATTGTTATTCCAACTGCAGTGGTGATGACATAATTTAACTCTTAAATAGGAGTGTACTAAATGGTTACATATTTTAAAGAGAATATGGGATCTACAGAAAATTATTTAACTGTACAAAAAAAGTTCAAAATTCAAATAGAACTTAAAATCTTAAACATTACAGTTAAAATTTCTTGACCTTATTCATGGAGAGCTGATCTTTATTATAAATGACAGGACACAAGGACAGGAAAACCCTGTTCTAATGGCACCTGCACTAAAAGAGCTGTGGGGGGCTCCAGGGACTGGGGAGAAGAGAGAGATCAGCTTTAGGCTGTGTTTTTTTTTGCACACAGAGAAAAACACACATTGACTGGAACTACAGCTGCCTGTTGGGAAAACAAATCACCAGAGTGTCTTAAAAATATAAACTGATAGCCAGGGCAACAGCAGAAGAAGACAAACTGAATTATTTGGACAGGCTTCATGATAATTCAAGCTCTTTTTATATCAAATCTCACATTTTATGTACCCCATTCACAATATACACACAAAGATTGGGGAGAATTTGTAAGCAAGAATACAGAAGGTGGATGTGTGCTTCACAGACGATTTCAAAATGCTCCATGGTAACGCTTTGCATACAGCAAGACTAGATCCTACAGAGGTAAAGAGCTAGTAACCAGGATGTTCCCCCAAGATACTATATTGCCACAGGTTCTGGCTTCAGATGAGAAGGGAAAACTCCCATCCTGTTGTCTGTGATTCTGCGACACTTGACCCCAAAGTATTTGCAAGTTTCTTGCTTAGGTAAATAGCAGTTACTTTACTCGACTTCAGGTACAGTAGGACTTCTCAACTCTGTTAACTTAGGCCCAACTTGCTTTCTATCTATTGTTTAAAGAAACAGAAACAGAGGACTTCAACTTAACCACATAAAGATTAATATGTCAACGGACAGTTAAAAACACAATAAGTTGGTTTAAAGAGGGGTTGACCAACTATAATAGGAAAGTCACAAGATACACTGGTTTTCATTCCAATTCTGATTTTATTTACTTAATTCAACTAATTATTTAGTGTAGACAAAGTATTTAAATGTTAATCAATAACTCCTTGAAAGGTACCCTTAAACACCCAGTGACCACCAGTGGTGCTTGAGAAATGGACCTGCCATCCCCAGAATAAGGATTTAATTGGGTAATCAAGAGTTCAGTCAGGATGAAAACCTGGACCAAACTGGAGTCCTGAGGTCCAGGATTGGGAACCTGCAGTGGGAGACTAGGCAGTGGGAGCTGGTGACACTACACAGCCTCCCCTCAGTCTCTAAGCTGCTTTCCATTAGGTTGATAAATGGCAAATTATCATTATGATTGAAGCTGCATGAAACAATTAAATACAATTATTCAGATTGGGTTAGGACATGGAGTTATAAATGATGCATGAATAAGGTGTAGAGAGTGCATTGGTATTCTTACATGTTGCATTCTAGCAACTAATGATGTCAGACTAACACAATGATGCAATTAAGCCACAATAATTTGTTCAATAACAACATTTTGGCATTGCTTTGGGTCAATAAATTCTGGAAATACGAGTATGTCTCTTGTTTCTCATACATCCCGCAAGGTGTTGATTACTACACACCAGGGGTGGCCAATCTTTGTCCTGGTGAGACACAGTTAGGTCTAATAGGTCTCCCTTGAATCATCAATGTGTAAAGAATTGATCAACATGCATTGTTCCACATGTGAAACAATCTGTGTTGATCCAATTAAGTTGGGTTTATTAATTCCAGAATTAAGGCTCTTGAGCATTGAAATAGTGGAATTTTTATTCCAAATGATCTAAACTATGTTTCTCAACAAATGACCTGCTTTGGAAAGAAATGATTCTTCAAGAATTTAGAAACTGATTAATTTAGCATGATTTCTAAAATCTGCTGGATAGTGGCTTTAGCAGAACCAAGGTTAGACACCAATTTGTGCACCTGTTCTTCATACCTAACAAGCAACATTCCAGCAATAACCCCCCCGAAAAAAAGTAATAAGTAACTAGCATATATGAGATCTGGTTTCAATCTTGATTTTACAGAATGCTTTTCATTAAGCCACTGGCTCCCAAGTTAAAAACAAATCTAGAGGCCCCTTTTCTGAATGGACTGAATAGGTGTTCTTTATCACATACTGTAGGTCACATAACAGGTCAGTAGGTTACACAATGAGTTTACTTGCAAAACAC